TGTGTCAGTGAGTACAGATGTGTCAGTGAGTACAGATGTGTCAGTGAGTACAGGTGTGTCAGTGAGTACAGATGTGTTTTTAGGAGAGATTTAAAGGCAGAGACTGAGGTGGCCTGTCGAATGTTGATGAGCAGATTGTTCCAGAGTTTAGGGCCCACGACTGAGAACACTCGATCTCCTCTGAGCTTCAGCTGGTTTTTGGTACGGCCAAAAGCAGCTGGTCTGATGATCTCAAAGCCCGAGAAGGAGTTTGGACATACTTCCGGGGGATGAGGTGCCCCAGCTACAAAATGATCAAATAAAAAAGGAGACCTTGGGCATCTGGTTAGGATGCCTCCTGGACGCCTCCCTGGTGAGGTGTTCCGGACACGTCCCACCGGAAGGAGGCCCAGAGGAAGACCCAGGACACACTGGAGGGACTATGTTTTTCGGCTGGCCTGGGAACACCTCGGGATTCCCCCGGAAGAGCTGGCCCAAGTGGCTGGGGAGAAGGAAGTCTGAGCCTCCCTACTTAGGCTGCTACCCCCGCGACCCGACCCTGGATAAGCGGAAGAAAATGGATGGATGGATGAAAAAGGAGACCGAGAGGACGCAAGACATGTAGAGACACTCAGACTCAGCTGTTAACACTAAAAGGAGCTAAAGACTATTCATTAGAATCAAAATCAGAATTAACTTTATTGTCATTGCACCGAGATACGAGAACATGTACGTACAGTCGTCCGAAAGATGGGCGGAGTGCACGAAGCTGCGGCTATAATTAATGCGGCCCTCTTATTCTTATTCAGAATAATATTTTGCTTAGATGAGAAAAGGAAAGAAAACATGAGGAGAGAAGGAATAAATAAAAGATCTCTCACTCCGTGTCCTAGACAGGGCACGATTTGAGGCATCAAACAAACCTCCCACAGCAAAGCAACATAAACAGACGTTATACTTGTACATATAGGCGGAGAAGATGTTGAAGTTTTAAGGGACAGTCGTAGCATAGTCCAGAGCCCCCCCTCAGCCATTGTCCAGATAAGAGGTGACGTTCATCTTCAGCTCAGTTGAGGTTCTGTTACATGTCCACGGCCTTGGGGGAGGGAGGGGTGAGGAAACAGTCAAAGCATCTTTGTTGTTTCTGAACATTCCAGGAGGAAATTAATCTTTATTTCTACAAGTTAGTCTCGTTCAGCCTAGAGGACTCATTTACAAGAGAGGCCTGATTTAAGAACACAGATGAGGAACAAACAACAATGTGCAATCATATAAAAAGCAGAAAATGAAAAGTACATAGAAGAAATTATATAAAAATGAAACAACAAACAGCTACATTGTAAAGCGATGTAGAAAACTATAAACAGGAACATGTCAGCATTGGTCCCTGCCAGGAGTCCAACAGGTTCTTAAAGACACTTAGAGAGGTCAAAGGTCGAGAGCTTCAGCTCTTTCTACAAGATATTCCAGGAAACAGGAGCGGAGTAGGAGAAGGTCCTTTTGTCTAGTTCAGTCCTCACTGAGGGAACACTGCAGGTAATGATGTCCTGAGAGCGCACGCTGTAGCTGCACTCACACAGAGACATGTAGGAGGAGATGTATGAAGGCAGCAGACCAGGAAGTGATTTAAAGATGAAAATGTACCAGTGGGAGAGTCTGTGTGAAGTTAATGATGTCCAGTTAACCAGTGGATACTGGGTGCAGTGGTGGGTACGGTAGTTACAGCCAGTTATGAATCTTAGTGCACCATGATAGACAGCATCCAACATCTGCAGCATCCAACATCTGCAGGGTTCTTGTAGGAGCGTTCATGTAAATAATGTCACCATAATCAATGGAGGGAAGGAAAGTCACAGATACAAGGTGTTTCCTAACATTCAGAGTTAGACAGGATCTGTTACTGAAAAAGAAACCCAGTTTTTTAGTTTCTTTACCAAGTTTTCCACGTGAAGCTTAAAAGAGAGATGTGAGTCGACCAAGATACACAAATATTTGTAGGAATCAACAAACTCAATGGGGACACCATTTGAGAATAAAATCAGAGGAAGAACTGCTGGGACCGACTTCCTGTTTAAAAAAAACATCCCTTTGGTTTTATCGGCATTTAAGACAATTTTGAGGTTAAACAAATCTGACTGGATGATGTCAAATGCGGATTTCAAAAGCTGGAAAACCTTATCAACTGTTTTAGCTCGACAATAAACAACTGTGTCATCAGCATAGAAATGTTAGGATGAGTCAAGGATGCTCTGACCTACATTACCTATGTAGATTGTAAAGATGGTGGGTCCTAAGACTGAGCCTTGTGGTATACCATTGTTGACTGTTAAATAACTGGAGGAAGTACCATTATGATGAACACATTGCCTCTGGTCTGTGAGATAGTTAGAGAACCAACAGTTTGTAGGACACCTGAGGGATATGTCTGACTTAGATCTTGAGTTCTTGTTGTGTCAGCCGGTTGTCTGTCTGGGGTAGTGCTGTTCTTTCTAACCCGAGCCCTAAGACCGGCCCCACCCGACCTGATTTTGGGGCATGCTGGGTCATGATAATGTTGGGTTTTTTCTGGGTTCTGACCTGTAATTACTGTTAATTCATCGTGTCGGGTGGGGTTTGGAAATGAAGACTGCGGGCTGGGGCCGGGTTGGATCTGATTTTTTTGGGCCCGAATGCAACTCTAGTCTGGGGCAGCTGTGTCTGAGTGGTTAGAGCAGTCGTCTTCCTAATGTAGAGTTGGGGGTTCGATTCCACCAGCAGTCACATGCTGAAGTGTCCCTGGGCAAGACACTGAATCCCTCATTGCCTCCAATGTGTGTCCCATCAGTGTATGACTGTGATAAAGCTCTGATTAGTCTTTGTAGAGATCTAGTAGAGTGCTGTATGAATGGGTAAATCAGGCACAGATTGTGTTGTAAAGACCTTTGAGTATTTTGACTCGATAGAAAGGTGCTATAAATACAGTCCATTTACTATTTACAGTCCATTTGTCTCAGCGGTCCTGACGTCTTCTTCCTGTCCTGTGGTGCAGTTTGCAGTCCTGGCCAGGAGGAGGCCACGCTGGAGTTCCTGCTCACGGACTACGATCAGATCTACAGGCGCCAGAAGCAGCTGGAGTTGGAGATCCAGGAGGCCTTCCTGCGCTTCATGAGCTGCCTGTTGAGAGGGTACCGGACCTTCCTGCTGCCCATCACACAGGCGCCATCGGACCGTGCCACGGACTGCAGCTCCCTGTTCCACCTGCAGGGTGCGCTATTTGTTTCTGAGCTCAGCTGAGTTTAACCTAACAGAATATCCTCTGAGAGGCAGATCCAGCCCCATCAGTTGTCCTGGTTCTGCTGTGTTCTCCAGAGGAACTGCCCTTCCTGTTTTTAAAGAAATTGTTTGTTCTGGTCTACTGGTCCTGCAGGTTTCCTTAAGTCCCGGGACCGGACACAGCAGAAGTTCTACGTCCATATGACGAGGACTCAGATGTTTACTCAGTTCATTGAGGAGTGCTCCTTTGTCAGCGACCGACACGCCTGCCTCGAGTTCTTCGACGAGTGTGTCCAGAAGGTGGGGGCGGAGCTTGTTTCCTTGGTAACTGAACCCTGATGACCTGTCGGTTTACCTGTGGCTGTTGGGTTCAGGTGGGCGTAGAGAGACCCGAGGAGGTCCGGCTCATCGATCTTGACGAAACTCACAGTGGAGAACACACA